AGTAAACTGCTGAGCAATCCAGGTGCAGAACATGAACCCCCCCCCTCCCCCCAGGTAACTGGCTTGGGTACCTAGGAACATAGTGGCACCGCATCCACTGAGATTAAAAAACAAACAAACACAAAACAAACAAACAAAAACACACGAGGAGCAGCAGCTTTGGACAAGGGGCTTAGATGAGAGGACAGCTGGATGCTGAAAGATTCCGGAGTTCCATATTATATCTTGTACCTTATGTTTAGTTTGCAATTACATTGGTCCTTCACACAGGACTTTTTTGCATCGACACAGGTCATCATATGTTTGCAATTATGTCACTGGTAAGTCATAGAGCGATTTTAGGTGGGGAGAGAGCAGATCTGTTACTGGAAGAATTTTTTTTTATATATATACATCTTTATTGATTCAGAGAGGAAGGGAGAGAGAAAGAGAGACAGAAACATCATGATGAGAGAGAATCATTGATTGGCTGCCTCCTGCACGCCCCCTACTGGGGATTGAGCCCGAAACCCAGGCATGTGCCCTTGACTGGAATCGAACCTGGGACCCTTCAGTCCGCAGGCTGACGCTCTATCCACTGAGCCAAACCAGCCAGGGCAAGCCTATCAACACTGACATCAGTAATGAAAAGCAGCAGATACTTTGTTCCTCTATGTTCTCCAAGAATAAAGAGGAAGCTGGGCCTCCAGGCCTGAGATAACTGGCTTTCTGGGTGTCATGTGAAGTGGCCTATAGAGTATTTGATAAGCCTTCCACTCCACCCATCTTTTATGCTTAAATTGTTTCACTTCTGGGATAAGTTTTTATGGCCATTTACTCTGGTACAATGACATAAAGATACCCGTATTTCTTTCATCCTGTTCAGCAGTCAACATTTTTAAGATAAAACTGACTTTTAAAACAATGAAATGTTGAATGAGAAGAGTCTGGGAACATTTGTAAACTTTTTCATTTCTCTTTTCTTTTTGCAATAAATTGCATTTCCTGGAATACAACTTGCAAGTGTAATGCAGACCCCTGCAGCACGCTGCTGGCTCTCCACTGCTCTGCTGCGTGGGGTACAGAGTGCTCCCCCAAACGACCCTACCAGTGCCATGCCGCTAGTGGTGTGTCATGAGTGGGAAAGAGAAAAGAGAAAGCCAGGACTGCTGCCAAGCGTCTATTCTCTTTGTGCAGAAGACGCATGACCCTGCCTGCTCTTCAGTACCCCGCACACGCAGGACGAGTGGGTGAATCCAAATTTACCAAAGTCATTCTGGACCTGTTATATTTGAAGTGCCTGTGAATACAGAGGTGCAAGCATCATGTAGACAAACGGATACATGAGCAAAACTTCAGAGAACAAGTCTATGTTGGAGACAGTAGTTATCCGAATAGGTACAGTCAAATAGTAAGCGAAACCAAAGCAGTAGATGAGACTTGTCAGAGCCTACACACACACGTTAAAGGAAAAAAAAAAAAAAAAGGAGCAGTGTGGGGAGGAAGACATCCACGTCCCTGCTTGGTGTTGGGCTGAGAACTAAGGGGATCCATGACGCAGCACTTCATTTCACTCCCCTACCGCCGTGAAGCCTGCCCGGCCCCTTGTTCATACTTTCCTCAAACCATCCTTCCCACTAAAAACACTCACCGTCTCATAAATACCAAATGGTGAAGAATCCCCAAATCAACCACACTTGGCCTGCGAGGACACCTCCACTTAAGGTTCTGGAAAACCATGGAAAGGGCAGAAGGATTTCTCGTTTCCCCACCATGGCTCTGCCTCGCTCTCCTCTTCATTCTATTCTAGAAATACAGCTCATCTCTGACTACTACAGAGCAGAGTTGCATGAAATCTCCCTTGGAACAGTTAGGGTGGTTGTGTGTTTGGGTTTCAAAAGAATGCAAACTGAAAGCAAAATTAACATCAAGAGAGAAAGCCAGATGTCAAAATACCGAACAAAATGGGCTGTCAGTCCTGAGAAATGAGCATTGCCATGTGGAGAAGCCCCCACCAACACCAACAGGGTACGTTTCTAAACACGTTTCAGGTACAGCTTTCATCTCTCATCCATGACCTACATTTTCTTCTTTCCACCCACTACATCCTCTTTTTATTAAAAGTAACACAAAGAGAAACCACTTTTGAAATCAAAGTGAGACTTATCCACCCCAGCTGCAACTTCAACGAGATATGATCATGACTGAGCTCACATGACTCATAACTTTCCTAAATTGTGCAATTCATAACAGTTCAACTGAAATCACTTCGGGGGAACGATGAGTATCCGAAAGCCTGGATTCAAATCCCAGCTTCAGAACTGCAGTTACAGTAACATTTAAAGGGTAAGTAAGCTAATAAACAATAAACCGTGCTCTTTAATTATGAAACTACTTATTGGTCTTGACCAATTCAATCTAAATAATGGTGGGGTTAAATTAAACAACAAATTATGTCCTGAGCCATTAAAGACACACAGAAATCAATGCTCTTCAAAAGAAAAGATACCCACAAGACACCTACTTATCACTGCCTGTGATCCTGACAGCTCACTGTGCCGGACTCATTCCTTCTGCGCTTTATGTGAAATGCGAGGCAGGCTCCCTGAGGTTAACGTCAACCACCTCTAAGTGCCCCATCAGGAGTGTCCTCATTTTCCCTCCTGACCTACTGAACCTTAAAGTTTGGGCTCAAATGTCGCCTCCTTCATGGAGCCTCGCCTCGCCTTCCCAGGCTCGCTTCCGTCCGCCGTGGTACACCACCCGCCAGGTGTGCCTGTGCTCTCTCCAGGCTGTTCTAGAACTGTCCGTTCAGGACTCCCTACTCCACCAGCCAGGAGCGGACTGAAGATGGATGCTGTCTGGTCTCGGCATTTCCGAAGCCACACACAGTACCTGCATCCAGTATGTCCTTCAGACGCCTGGGGAGTGAACGGGGCAGTCCTGCATCTTCCTGGCCCCAGCGTTCTGCACTTTGCACATAAAAAGCACACGGCCAGAAACAACACCCTCCGATCCCTGAAGCTGCTGACACTGGCCCAGGAAGCAAGGTTTTCCTCCCTCCTGTGTGCACCCGGGGAGTCACACCACTACTTCCCACCTGTGAGCAACAGAACACCCAAGGCCAAACGGGCGTTAGAGTGGGGAAAGGTGAACTATCGCAAGATTCCTTGCAGTAACGTTCAGTCCCAGGAAAAGGATCCGTGTCCTCACCCTCCCCGTCACCTGCCCACCCCATCTCACATGTCCCTTCCACCTGCACGGACTTACCCCCCTCAGCACCCTAACAAGCGCCCTCCCTCCCATTAACATGGTCGCCTGTCATCGTTCCGATCTGACATAACAAGGAAGCGACTGTTCAGCCGGACGCTCAACACCCTGCACACCCTCCATGATGACACTTTCTGACTATTAAATGAGAAAGAACTCCCGGATACACTAACGTGAAACTCTCCATCGGCCATGAAGGACCCCGACGTGGTGGGGAAGGCTGCGCACGCCGCACGGTGTGCCCCGTCCGTCCTGGTGGGATCTGGGGACCAGACAGCCATGAAGACTCACCGAAGCTACAGCGTGCACACCGGGCAGCGCCTCATCCTTCGCCACCAACGCATCACTCGCTCTCACACGTCCTTCTGGAGGACGAAGGGCTGACCGGCAGCACACGTTTACACCACTAACTCCCACCACAATGCCACTCTCTTCACGTCCCTCCATCCTTAAAACCCAGCCTCTTGCCCTGGCCGGTGTGGCTCAGTGGATAGAGCGTCGGCCTGCGGACTGCAGGGTCCCGGGTTCCATTTGGGTCAAGGGCACGTGCCCACCCCTGTGGGGGGCGTTCAGGAGGCAGCCGATCCATGGTTCTCTCTCCTCATGGATGTTTCCGTCTCTCTCTCCCTCTCCCTTCCTCTCTGAAATCAATAAAAATATGTATATTTTTTTAAAAACCAGCCTCTTAGGACATCGAAATAAGAACCTCTCCTCTCTGGGCTCAGCACTGACCACACGGGCCGCCCCGCTCGTTTCTCGGCCGCGGCCAGGAGACCCTTCGCAGCCGCAGCCGCAGGAGCGCGAGCGGAGCGCCCGCGGCAGGTTTGGGCGCCCCGCCCCGCACCCCGGGAAGCCCCCCTTTAAGCATCTAAGCGCTCGCTAACTCGATCCCGACAGGGGCGTCCCCGCCACCGGCTCCCGCCGACACTCCCGCGGAGGGACGCGGGCGGCTAACCCCCTCCGGGCGCCCGAGCGGCGGGCCCTGGGCTCAGACACGAGCAGCACCCTGTCCCTCACCTCTTTCCCGAACACCCTCCCAGACGCACCCCAGGGAGCACCCCTCCCGGGCCCAGTCACCCCGGAGGCCGCCGCCGGTGCCCCTTTCCCGTTCCCGAGCAAGCCGGTCTCCATTCTTCCCCAAACGCCGAGCCACACCCCCTCCACACAGAAAACTCTGGGACGCGCCAAGGCCGCCCGGTACCCCGCCCCCAGACACCTGCTCCGGCGCCCGGCTCTTCCCCGAAAGCAGCGCGCCCCCGGCGCCGGCCCAACCAACTCCCGCGTCTTTACCGAGTCGCGGCGGGGAGCCCGAGCCCGGCTGGTCCGGAGGTCGCGGCGCCAGCACGAAAGGCGCCAGGCTGGTCAGGAGGAGCAGGCACCGCCTCATGTTCCCGGGCCGCGCTCCCACCTCTCGGGGCAGCCTCGGCCGGACGGGGGTTCGGGACGCGGCTCACATGGGGGGAGGAAGGGATCCGCCCGGCCCGGCCCCTCACACCAATTGTTCCTCCCGCGCCGCCTACAGGAAGACTAGAGCCGACTCCCGGCCCCGGAAGTGCAGGCAGTGTTCCCAGAGGCCGGCTGAGCCCACTTCCGGCCGCCGCCGCCGCCGCCCGCACCGCCCACTAGCGGAAGCCGCGTGCCGCGCGGCATGCCGGGAGGACCTGGCTCGCCCCGCCCCGCCCGCGCCAGTGCCCCGCCCCCTTCCCGCCCCTTCCGGCCCGCCAGGGCGGGGCCGGCGCGTGTCCGGACAAGACCTTGGACGTCCTAGCTTGACCCAACCGAACTTCGCCTCTGTCCCCGGGTGGCCTCTGTCCCCGGGTGACCGCTGCGGAGGAGGCGGCCGCTTGGGAGCAGCCCTCGAAGGCACGTCCGGCCTCCTCCCTCGTTTTGGTCCCACTCCGGTTGGGATCCCTGTTTTCCGTTTCACTCAAGGAGCCGTAGGAACCGCCCTGGGGTCCAGGCGGACGGGGAGGGGCGCCTGGCCCTGGGTGCTCGAGGGAACGACCCAAAAACGCAATCGAAGGACGAGGAACCTGCTCCCTGGAGGAGGCGGCCGACCCCTGGGGAGCGTGCGTCCCGGTGCGTCCACGCTGGGCGAGGCCAGCGGCGCCCTTTTAGGCCTCCGTCCCGGTAACGAGAAGGCCTTGTGGAGGGAAATTAACGGGAGCTTCACTCCTAAGACACGTTTTCTCTGTGGCCCCGCGGTAGCTCGCGGCTCTGCAAGCATTTCCAGAAACTAGAATCTTCGACCGTCCTCGCCCTCTACGTGGACACAGAAGCTAGACCCATCAGCCAACTTACTGAAATGCAATCTGCGCGGTCGCTTTCGCGCTGACTGCACATTTCCGAGGCAGTTCGTGCTTTGCAATCCTGTGCATAACATTAGCTCTGTAGTTCAGTGTCTACGGTACTGAATAAAACATTCTAATAAGGGGTGCGTAGCGCTATTTTGGTTCAACCAAAGTTTATGCAAGGAGGACATAGCACATTTTCCACTTACGAGACAGCCAAAGGTTAGGAATAAAGTATCAGTCCTGCCTGGTCAAGTTTCAAATCTAGTTCCTAATAAATTACTCCAACTATGGTTTCCGTTTAGGTTCATTGCGGTATGCCGCAGAAGACCGCAGCTGCTTTTCCAAGTTATCCATAATTCCTGGCTGTGTGCATTTTTTGGCTTAACTGAACCCCATCTGTTCCTCTGAGGTATAAAATGTCTTCATTAAACATAAACATTGATGGCATGCCTAATCAAAACAAGCCAAATTTCACAAATTATATACAATATTTTTAAAACTTCATAAAAATGTGTCAGCTGTGTGCAATTTTTATACAATACATCCCAAGCATCAGAATCTCCCTTATTAGATCATAGGTTATATCTATTTTAAAATATATTTTTTATTGATTTCAGAGAGGAAGGAAGAGATAGAAACATCAATGATGCGAGAGAATCATTGATCAGCTGCCTCCTGCATGCCCCACACTGGGGATCAAGCCCACAACCTGATCCTGTGCCCTGACCGAGAATCGAACTGTGACCTCCTGGTTCATAGGTCGACGCTCAACTACTGAGCCACGCCAACCCAGCAGATTATATTATTTTGATGTCTCCAGTTCTTTTCCAGTATCTTCCTAATAGAAGCCACTTAGCTGTTTAATAAATGACATTTTTTAAAAAGTAAACTGGCCAGACCAGTGTGACTCAGTGGTTGAGCATCGACCTATGAACCAAGAGAGCAGGGTTCGATTCCCAGTCAAAGAAAAAAAAAGTAAACTTCTGGTCCATTTTTTTATTCATAGCCCTGGGTCATAGATTTTCAGGGACAGTCCGGATTTCAGGTAATCTTTCCCATTCACAAATCATGTCTCAAATTATGGTTTTCAATTTGAGGTTTGTCTTTCATTTATGAATTATCCATACCGTTAAGATAAAGGAGCACCACATAGGAGAGATAAAGAGCCAGAGGGACATGCTACAGGGTCCCATTGGATAGAGGAACTAATAGTCTGAGCCAGGGGTCTTCAAATCATTTATTCTCTTATCCCCAGATTTTTTTAAAAATATGTTTCCCCATTCATACTTTAAACATTTTTTCTTCATAAATGTAAGTAGTTGCAAAGGATGAGGTTTCTGACATAATGTAAATACTGACATTTAAAATTAAAACCGTTAGGTCATTATTTCAAATTTACCCAATGGAATATAAATACCTGATATTTGATAGCCATTGTGGTAGCCAGCCTCCCGATGGCCCCCGATGGTCCCTGCTTCCTGATACTCGCATCCTTGTAAAGGCTGTCACCTTCCACATGGACCGTGGTCGGTCTGTGTGACCAATAGCAGACAGCAGAAGTGATGGTATTTCACTCCCAAGATTAGGTCATAAGAAACTGTCTTCCATCTTTGCTTGCTTTCTTCAATCACTTACAGGAGAAGGCCAGCTTTCATGTCATGAGAACATTCAGGAAGCCTATGGAGAACCCCATGGGAACAGGTCACCAGCCAACAGCCAGCAAGTGACTGAGTGGTGCCCCAGACTGTGTGAGGGAGCTGGGAGGTGAGTTCTCCCTTCCCAGGCAAGCTGTGAGGTGACTGCAGTCCCTGTATTCAACAGCTTCACTACAATCACATGAGACCCTGAGCCCCGTTAAATCATTCCCAGGTTTAAAAACGACATGAGTCCTAGCTGGTTCGGCTCAGTGGATAGAGTGTTGGCCTGCAGACTGAAGGGTCCTGGGTTCGATTCCAGTCAAGGGCATGTGCCTGGGTTGCGGGCACATACCCTGTAGGGAGTGTGCAGGAGGCAGCTGATCGATGTTTCTCTCTCATCGATGTTTCTAACTCTCTATCCCTCTCCCTTCCTCTGTAAAAAAATCAATAAAATATATATTTAAAAAAGAAGAAGTAGGGTCAATCCACAAATCTCCATCAGACAACAGACCCACTTGCTGGAATAAACCCATCTACAAAGTCACGTACCAAGAACTCAAGGTTTTAGTTCAGAAATTGTAACCTATTTCAGATGTTTTTAGAAAGAAAAAGTATATTATGCATGGAGCAAAGCAGAATACTTGAGAATTCTCACTGATAAAGGGAATTGTTATAATGGGCAAGAAAAGAGCCGGGCCTCCTTGAAGCTGGAATATTTTCCCCAGGTCCTACAAGAAAAGGAAACCAGCCATTTCCTTGAAGATATTATTTCAAGAAGGTTCATTGCAAAAATTTTAGTAACCATTGCTCTATTTTTCATCCCTCTTTCTTACCAGGCATCCTTCCTTGCCTTCATCACAGAATTCCTTGCAATGGCTAACCTGGACCTTGTAAACAGCATCATCCCTCCTAGATACCGGATGCCACACAAAATGTGTAGGTGCGTTGGATCTTCCTTCTAAACCCTTCTCCCTCCCCTGAGATCTGGGTAATTGAACTACACGAAAAACTGATCACAGAGAGCAGATTGGACAGAGAGAAAATGGAAACGTGTGCTGTTCGAAATTACCTCGGGTCTGAAGTGGCCAAGAGTCACTCCTCCTGGGCTGGCAGGCCCCGCGGGGAGCCTCGCACCAATTTCCCTCCAGCTCTGCTGCGGCCGAGGCCTTAATTGAAGACCTGTCCTACTTAGTGCTCTTCAGAGAAACCGCGCTCAGCTGTTGGATGTTTAAAATCTAGTAATTCTGCTGGCATTTAAAGAGCAACACCTCCCTGGGAATGGAATCAGCATGAGGAGGATCTGCACTCCTGTCCTCATACGCTAATATTCACACCAGCTAAGATATAGAAACAAGCCAAGGGTTCATGGTGAATAGGTGGATAGGAAAGTTGTGGTATCTACCTGCAACGGAGTGTTTTTTGACCCTAAGAGAGGAAGTCCTGCCATTTACAACAACCTGGATGAGCCTGGAGGACATTATGCTAAGTGAAATAAGTCACAGGAAGACAAACACTATATGATCTCATTTGTAAGTGAACTTTTTTTTTTAACTCTAACAAAATGTATTGCTTTTTCTTGATTGCCTCTGGCCTGGCCTTGGAAGGGCTCTGTGGGTTCATCTGGCCTTGTTTCCTGGCTGCTGCTGTGGCTTTTAAGACCTTTAATTTTAATTTTTTAAAAATATATTTTATTGATTTTAGAGAGGAAGGGACAAGGAGAGATAGAAACATCTATATATATAAAAGCCTAAGCAACCATTAAGACCAGATGACCAGCCAATAGCTATGACATGCACTGACCACCAGGGGGCAGACACTCAACACAGGAGCTGCCCCCTGGTGGTCATTGCGCTCCCACAGTCAACCTCCTGCGGTCCCTAGCCCTGGACTGGGCGAGATGCCCCGATAGGTTCCAATTGCTGCCCAGGCTGAGGGATCCCACTTGTGCATGAATTTGTGCACCAGGCCTCTAGTCAATGATGAGAGAGAATCACGGGTCGGCTGCCTCCTGCAAGCCCCACACTAGGATTGAGCCCACAACCTGAGCACATGCCCTGACTGGGAATCGAACCAGGACCTTCTGATTCATAGGTCGATGCTCAATCACTGAGCCACACTGGCCGGGCTTTTAAGGCCTTTTTTGCTTCTTCGTTTTTGAGCCTCCCGGGAAACCCGAATGCACCGAGCCTTCCTGGCCACCCGGCAGCTGTGGGCTTTCCGGTCCCAGAGGGGAAAGGTATGCCTGACCCTAGCTCCTGGCACATCTCCTCCAAGCCGTTCTAGTTGGTCTCGGGGAGGTTTCTGAGCACTTGTTGCCTCTGGCCGGTGCTCGTGAGCAGATAGCGCTGTGGGCGTCGTCCTTCCCACGGTTCTCCTGTGCTCGTCCTGACTGTGGATCCGACGCTCACGGCAACAACTCGAGCCTCCAGGGCTTTGCCAGGACCTTGTTCGTCAACGCCTCTTACCCGACTTGTAGCTTCTCCTTCTGGAGTAACAGGTACTTCATCACCTCAGTGCACTGTTCACATGGGTGATGAGGGAGGGCGGGCAGTGACCAGCGGCTCCTGTGTGCTCTTCTGCAGATCTGACCCAATCCCTCCCAGTTGCCCGCCCTCTCACTCATTAGCTTCAGGTGGGCACAGGCCTCGGCAGTGCGCTGCCAACCCCAGGATCCTGTCACTGACTCATTTTTACTCCCCTGCTGTGCAGCTCACCTGATCTGCACTTTGGCCCTAATTCTTCCAAGTCCCAAGTCCTGGCCAGCAGCAGCACAGCCTCCCCTGGGCCCTCGTCACACAGGCACCTCATCGGTCAGCCTCCCCCAGACATCCTGAGCCCCAGCTGCTGGGGTGATGACCAGGGCTGGCGGCACTGCCACCACTGACCGGGTGGCTCCTGAGAAACAGGCATTTCTCCTCTGGCTCCTGATGTTTCTCCACGGCCTTCAGCAGCATGACCTTTCCCTGTCTGTTCCATCACAGGAGGCTAATTAGGAGCGAAACCGCTGCCCGAGTTTTGTGTTTTTTTTAACTTTGCATTCCCAAGTTACACTGTCACTTTCCTTGAAAATCTAGGGCAATAGGTCTGCTCGAAGTGTGGCTGACTTCCTTATCCACAGGACTGGTTTCACTTTACCAGAACTTTCCGATCCTGAAATCAGGCCGTCCCGCTACTCACTTCTTTCCCACCAGTATTCCACATTCGCCTTCCTCAGGCTTTCACACGTAGAAATAGTTCTGCACCTTGGCTCACAGGCAAGAGAGGTGCTTATCTTTTAAGAAAACTGAAGCTGAGACTAGGTGGTGAAGTTACAAGTGCTAGTACCCGGTACAGTCCATGGTTCACAACAGGCTCTCAATGTATTTAACAAGGGAAGGGAGGGAGGGAGGGAGCTAGACCTTGGACGCCCAGGCTGCTCCTGTTTCTACGAGGCCACCCCACCTCTCATGCTTGCAGTTGTGGGAAGAGACAAGTCTGGCTCAGGGTTAATAATCCCGTCCCGTTTGTTTTCCCGGCTCCAACACAGCGGTGTTGCCACCGCTCTCGGAACACAAGTCTTCGGAAATGTGTTCAGTGAACCCTCTGAGGTTCTTACCAAGTTCCAGAGCGGCTGACAGACACACTGCAGGGAGAGTGGCTGAAGCACGGGCCTGTCTGGAGACCCGCAGGGCGAGAATGAAGAAGAGTGCTGGGTACTAACCCCGGAAGAGGAAAAACCTGTAACGTCAGCAGCAACCGGAGCCTGGCGGTCTGCCTCCCTGCGGGCCTGAGCGAGGCAGGTGGGACGGCGTGGAGTGGGGCTCCCAGAGGAGAGTGGCAGGGAGTTTTGCAAGAAATGCCAACTCCCAGGGCACACCACAGCCTTCAGGAAGGCCCGGCCTCCTCCCCCACACCTCCCCTCTAGGGCAGAAAGCAGCCAGGTGCACGCCAAGTTCAACTTCAGTGGCCCCTTCAACAAACCACTTCTGGTTTTCAACAGTTTGGTCTAGGACACAACTGCAGGCTATCACACAAAGATGATTCTACTATAATAATACCCAGCACGGGGCACTTCGCCCCCGGGGCGCCCGCCTGGAGCGAGAGCAAAGCAAACGGCCCAGCGGATTGGAGAACTGGAGAATCGGAGAAGGAAGCGGCTTCCCACAGCCCAGCACCGCACAGACAAGCCCGCACCTTCCATTCCTGTCAGCAAGGAAATGCCAGAGGCTGTAGCTTACATCACAGCAAGCACACCTCTGACCAGCATTTGCGTGAGAACCCAGTATTCCTCAAAGAGCTGTATTTCAACTCCTTATTCGGGCTCGACGCAGCTTCAAACCCAGTTAGGAATTCCTGTCCCACAGCCCCGTGCCGCTTCGCCAGGCGAGCAAATGCCAGTTCCGCCACACGCGCGGGGTTGAAGCCCTTGCCTCGTGGTTACGGCCTTCGAAATGTTGCAGAAGTAGTTTCTGCGGAGAAGAGAGATAAAAGAGTTAATCTTTACATAATTCTTCAAGACACGGAGGATGAGAGTATCAGTCTGAACACACTCCCTCTTCCTAAGGGCGTTGCGGGGCCCATGGCTCAGCACACCGCATGTACCTGGATTGCAGGTTCAATCCCCCATCGGGGCACACGCAGGAGGCAATCGATCAGTGTTTCTCTCTCTCAAAATCAATTTTAAAAATCTTTAAAGTCCCCACCAAATATTTTATTAAAAACTATTTTTTTAATTAAAATTATTGGGGTGACATTGGTCAACATGAACATACAGGACCCAGGTGTGGGTTTCTGTGACAAGATCTGTATACTGCACCGTGCGCTCACCGCCCAGGCAGATGTGTCACCTTACATTAGGCTGCCTTCTCCCCCTACCCCTCCCCTCTGGCGACCACCACACTGCTGTTCCTGTTCACACGTTAGTTTTATATCCCACATGAGTGAAATCATGTGGTTCCTCACTTTCGGACTTATTTCACTTAGTACAGTGTTCTCAAGGTCCATCCATGTTGTAAACGGTGCGATTCCACCCTTTATGGCCGAGTAGTGTTCCATTGTGTATGGACCACATCTTCACCCAGTCCTCTACCGCAGGCCGCTGTGGTTGTTTCCACGTCTTAGCCACTGTGAATAATGCTGGAATGAGCATAGGGCTGCATATATCTTTGTGAATACATAATTCCCAAGTGATATCTTAAAGGAAAAGCTGTCCAGTGTTCTAACTACAAGATAGATGTAACATTTAAACATGCTGCATCTCAGAAAGGCTTTAAACCTTCCCTCCATCCCCAAATTTATTTACCACACTCCCCCCGGGAAGGTGTCCTCTCCTACTGAGTTCTCAGCAGTGTCCCACAAATCCCCTCTATCTCTGCTAGGCCCCAAGCTCAGAGGGTTCGAGGAGACACAGGGGCTGGGCCCCTTATAAAGTTGCCGACTCTTAAAGCAGGGAGACAAAAATCCGTGACTGAAAACTGAGAATAACCTGCTCTTTAAGCAGGTACTTGGGTAATTCACAATTACTCAGTTCCGTACTTAACCACTTTATTAAGATAAAATTTTAAAAAATATTTTTATTGATTTCAGAGAGGGAGAGGTGGAAACATCGATGATGAGAGAATCTCGGTCAGCTGCCTCCCGCACGCCCCCTACTGGGGATTGAGCTTGCAACCTGGGCACGTGCCCTGACTGGGAATCGACCTCTTGGTGCATAGGCAGATACTCAGCACTGAGCTATACACCTGCTCTGCAAGATATTTTGTAACATTCCACAATGGCGTTCCCATGCCTACTGAAATGTCTATTTATAAAGGAGTCTTACTGCAGGTATGTGCCAGGACCCATCTTGTTTAGTCAGAGATATTAATATGATAGAGGTTTTGTTTTTGTGATATGAGCTTGTATTGTTATTATAAAACTATTTCAAATGTTGGAACCAGGCAATTAGGTTCAGCTGCTACTAACTTCATTAAATTTTGCTGATTTGTGTAGAAATGTACCTCATATATTGAGGTCATGACATTTTAGTTAAAATTGTATTTTTCTCTTTAATTTCCATGCAGTGTACAAAAACAGAGATTGGATTATAAAT